ATGCCAGGAGAGGTTGCCCCCTTGGAGCTGGGAAGCCTGAGAATTTCAACATCAGTTCTTAGAGCGGATGATGGAACCAGGGCCAGTGAAACGATGGCCACATGAACTCTTCTTTGGCGAGCAGCTGCCTCCCACAAACTCCCCCATCTCTCGTCAGTGTGCTATTCCTCCAGCTGCTTTTCTACTTCCTTCTTGATTGACCAGGAATCCCACTTTTTCCTGCTGCTCCTGAAACTGAAGCTGCCCAGTGTTCTTCACCTTAGCAGTGTCTAGCAATGGGATAATTTTTCCATTCCTACCCAAACTTGCCCAACCTGTGCAGACCCTACTATTCTGTAGACATGAAGAGAGAGCTAAGCTGTTAAACTAAGAACTAAAGTGTGAGCACTGGACAGCAGCTCTGGAGAATAGAACCAGCGATCCAAGACAAACCTCCCTAACTTGTCTGCAGCAAGCCCTACTGATCAACCCCTGTACTCATCATTCCCTGTACACCCAGACACAATCTTAATACTGGATTCTAAGCAGCCACTTCCAGTGGATCACAGTTGGCCTGAAAGTGGGAAACCATTTGCCATCATGACCTTATACACAAAAGCAAAAATTACAAATGCTAGGATAAGACAGATAGCTGCCCAAGAAAGTGGGTAAGGTAAGTACCTTATCACAGCAGGTAAGATGGATCTCTCAGTAAATTTACAAAGACACCCCACCACCTACCTATGAAATGGACACTACCTCTGATATACCCCTTATTGATTCAGGACTGTAAGGATATCTGCACATGTTCTCTAATGATAATGCCAGCTTCTTTCATCCTTGACTTTTTAATGGCTTGAGGCTTATATCCTTAAGGTATCCAACTAAATCTTTTTTATACATCTAGGTGCAGTGAGAAAACATAATTATCACTGTTCTTGGATGCCATACTTATAGAAATCTTTTTTTTCACCAAATTATGAAGTTGGAAGCATTTATTCAAGTATATGGTAAACGCATGCAGTGTTCCTCTATAATGGAAAACTGCCCACAAAAAACTCTATTCAGCAAATTTTATTAGTCATATTGAATTTGGGAATTCACTTCACTTTGTGTGATATCACTTGATCTCCAGATCATTGTAGTAGATTTACATATTTGTTGCACATTGTCCTGTCAAGTATAGGTTTATGCAAACCTAGCCCCAAAGTCCAAGGAAGTCCAAGAAGCCAACAAAAGACATATCCAATTTCTCAAAAAGAAACATTTAATACAGACTTATGAACAGAAACCACGTCTCAAGTGGTGGTGAAAGGAAAATATATCCCCATGCCATTATCCCCAAGACCCAGGAATTAAATACCATAGGGAAAGAATGTGCCGGACAATTAAAATGGACCCCTCAGGGAAAGGCAAGAATGCTATGTGGATATGCCCAAGGGCAGGATTTATGGTCAAGGTTTTTTTGACCTAAGGGCAAGATTTATGGGTAACAGTAAGATAAAATAGGAATCTTAGAGGCATTCCTGGAACAGGCATTAATCAGAAGTAAACATGGTGGATTAGCATCCAAGATGGAATTGCTTTAACCTTTATACATGTGTACTATGGACCTACCATATACAAAGTAGCCATTTGAATCAATGACACAAATGGAATTGAAATTATTTGACTTTTGATAAGCAAGCTAATTGTTTGGCATTAGTATAGATGTATCATTTCTTTTTAATGTCTTAGGTTTGTGACATTCTCCCTGTCACCCTACCACACCTACAAATACCCATTAATATAGGAATCAAATTATTCTTGTTTTATTTATACCAGGACATTTCACTACAAATGTCTTCTGAAAACCTGGTAGATGACCAGAATCCCTCATTTATATTCACATGGTCTCTGTCCATCCTGCATGATTTCAACCCTTTTTCCAAATTGATTGGCATTCTTCTTCTCCTCCAAATTTCCAAAGTTAGTCCTAGCTTTCTCTCAGATGAAAACTTCCTTAAAGACCAAGTTACTCTTATTAATAATAAAGTTTAATTCACTCAGTCAACTGGTGCACAATCATTTACACAGTAAAAAATACCAGCCTGACTGCTTACACCATAGTTGATAGGGCCCTGCTCAAGATCCAAACTCTTTGCAAGTTTGGCTTCTACAATAGACTTAGTTCATTTGCCAAGTAATCAAACTTGTATTAATTTTTCTATTAACTGAATTTAATACCAGAGGGACAAGCTAATGAGACTTAGCAAGTAATTTGGGAACATTAGAATCCCATGGATCTACTCATACGAGCTGTGATTTGTCTACTCCTGGTGTTGCTCTACCTTACTGAGAAATCGTAACAATAAAATTTCAAATTCTGTGTTTATGTCATTCACTGTGAGTTGGACCCTAATTTGATCTTTAACAATTGATTTGGGATTAAAAGTGTCTGAACAATGAGAACTTGGATTTTTCCTACCAGGGATAAGATAATGCTACATACATGGTAACTATTTCTTTTAAATGCACATTACTTTCCACAAGACAGAATTTTGTGTGGACATAAACAAAGAGCACCCAAAGGAGAACAGGCAAAGCCTGCTTATTCAGACCTTTCTACAGCAAGGGAGTCAGCCACCATCACTTGTGTTTGGCAGACACTCAAGGGCAGGCAAGGGAGAAGGGAAACTTTATAATGGAAAAAAAGGAAGGGCTTCAGGTGTGGCCTAATTGGAGGCTGTTGCTGTGAGCTGGGGAAGCTGGAAACAGGCATCCTATGGTTGGTTAGGAGTCCATGCCTGCTTTCTGCAGTTGGTTCTAAGCTGGAATCAGGGACAAACATTAAGGAAGCTGTCAGTAATTAATCAAATTCTAGCCATTTTAGGCTAATTGCTACAGGGGTTGTTGTTTGTCTTTGTGAACTGGTTGCTTCAGGTTGTAGCTAAGAGTTCCATTTTTATACATGGCCTGGCTATTGTTTGTTTATATATTCTGTCTCTCAACTGATACACCCTGAAAAGTCTCGTTTAAATCTGCCAATATTAAAATATCCCTGATACACTAAAAATAGCACTGCCATCCAATTTGTTACTACAGTATTTCCTTTCTGTGGTTACAAAGCAAAACCTATTTCATTGTATGCTATTTTGAAGAAAGAAAAACAAAAACGAAGAAGAATACAGTCACTAAATACCCCACCGTGTTTTAAAGGCAGCCCTGTTAACATTTTGGAGTATAAAGTTTCACTGCTCTTTCCATTTACAAAAGTAGGATCAAACGGGGCATAATAATCTGTAAACTGTTTTATAAACCAACAAGCCAACAATCATGAACATTCTCTGCCTGATCATTTAGCAATTTTTCCTGGCACCATTGTGATGACTATATTATTTCAATGGTTGTGCACGCTAAGGGTTCCTGTAACACGGGCAGCACCCTGCAATTTGGGATCTTCATGGTGTTTCTTATTTATCATTATGATAAAAAAAAACATTTCCTTAAACATTCTTACAGGTAACTCTTAACACATAGCTCTGAATCTCTAGATTCTCAAGAAAAAACATGGAAAAGAGTCAGTTGTTGAGAACTAACCAAGAGATAGCAGAATAGAGTGGAAAGACCATGAGGGTTGGTAGGTGTCTTTGGTTCTACCTCTTCCACCATCACCTCCTGTGTCATTAAACTCACTTCTCTTGCTGGGCCTCAGTTTCCTCAGGAGAGAAAGGGAAAGGGGCCTCCAAGGACGCAGCAACATTTTGCGATTCTACCAATCCTGGTCCTGCTCTTCATGAGATCACAGCTGCTGGTGACTCGGGTGGCACCATGTAGGGGCTTCTCCCGGATCTGGTGAGCAGAGCCCTTCAGCCCAGAAGGCCCAGGCACCTTGGTGGTGGCAGATGGTGGCTGCCCTTGTGCTGCCTGGTTTCCACTGACAGGCTGATGAAGGCATCACAAAGCTCTCAGAAGCCCCATTTTGGGGCCTCTGTGAACTTCAAAGGGTGCAGCGATGCGGCGTGCCTGCAAGCCTTGGGCAAAGCAAGTCACTCTCGAACAGGTGGACTGACTGGTGCAGGTTAAGTTCCTGCTGTATATACTAGTCTCTCTCTCTCTGGGCATCCTAGATTTTCGTGTTGTTTCCTATCAAGTTCAAATACGTGAGCTAAATCATAAAATTTGTGTGAAACACAAAGCTGTCCAGGCAAAGACGAGCTCTGTTTTAGTGTCAGGGAAACAAGCACATTTGAAAGTTGTGTCCAGAGACGGATCCAGGCGGATGTCCTGAGGCTCGTACAATTTGAAGGGGCCCTTTAAAAAGAATAGAAAGTTACGCATATAATATTAACCACAGAGCCTTGGACGGGGCCTTGCATAGTGGGGCACGGATGCTCAGGTTTGCTCTAAATCTCCCTGCAGGCTTGGTCAACCCTTAAAGGCTTATACCACTCCCAGAGTTTCTGATTCCAGTAGGTGTGGGGTGGGGCTGAGAAGGTGCATTTCTAACAAGTTCCTGGGTGATGCTGCAGCCCAAGGAGAGTGTCCATACTTTGAGAACTACTGATTTATACAATTGGGGTAGGAGCTCTTTAAGAAAAAGAATACAGCTCTATCCAGGAAAATACAAGAGGTGCTGCATCACCATTGTTTCTTAAAGCTGAATAGTACTCCATGGTATCTCAAGCACCACATGTACTCACCAGCAAATTGGTATTAACGGATCAACACCTAAGTGGACATATAGGAGTAACATTTATCAGGTGTCAGGCAGGTGGGAGGGGGGAGGAGGGGATGGGCATATACAAACGTAATGAGTGAGATGTGCAACGTTTGGGGGATGGTCCCGCTTGAAGCTCTGACTCAAGGGGGGAGGGGAGCATGGGCAATATACGTAACCTTAACATTTGTACCCCCATAATATGCTGAAATAAAATTAAATTAAATTAAAATTAAAAAGCTAAAGAATACAAATTTGTTTTGATATTTTACAAAATGTTATTTAATATCCTACATTTTACAAAAAACACAGGATAGTGCAACAGCCCCTCCCAGGGCCATGTAAGGGCCCCCCCAGCAAAAGGCTTAAGCTCCACTTGCTTTGCAGACAGGATACTGCCAGGGGACGATGCTTCATTGCGCAGCAAAGCCCTCGGAGGGTGCATTTCTGGGGAAAAGGAGATCATTGTGTCAAATCTTCTCAAAACAAAATACTTCCCCTTGCCTAGCAAACAAGACACTGGTTGTTTTTACTGCTACCAGGGGGAGATAGGACAGGGTGTGCAAGCTGTTACTGCAGAGCCAAATTAAAAAATTCAAATCTTGGCCTTACCATGTACTGTGTGACCTTAGCCAAGTTACTACCATCTCTGTGCATCAGTTTCTTCATCTCAAACATGGATATGGTAATGATACCTCCCTGGCTGTATAGTTAGGAGGATTCAGTACCTGGTAATGACTGGCTGCTATCAGCAGCAGCACTATAACGTGGCTTATGGCGTTGACTCTAGAAGCCGACAGCCTGGGTTCACATCCTGGCTCCACCACTTCACAGCTATGCAACCAAAGATAAGTGAAATAATCTCCCTGAGCCTTTATCTCTTCATCTGTGAAACAGAAATATTAACACCATTTATCCTCCTCTGAGTTCTTTAAGGCTTAAATGGCACAATGCGTACAAACGTGCCCAGTGCCTAGCACATATTAAGGGTCCATAAATATTAGTTACCACCAATGTTGTTACTATTGTTTTCTCATTTAATGATCTTATATTAATTCTCCCTGGATTACAGTAATCCTAACTGGAAAAGGAAACTGAATTGAATGTTTTTGTCTCATCAACATCAATCATCAGAATTTATCATTTATTTTGACATGAGATAGTGAAAATAATTCTGTGAAAATGAAGGTCCAGTTGGTCTCTTGGGGGATGTAGGGCCTAGTTTCTCAGGAGTAAACTGAATTTCCCTCTTAGGTCAAACTACTGATTGGCCTACTCATGCCTTTTGAGGTCTTTGTGATTTTATTAATTTTTGTGTGGTTAATCTTGAATATGTAGAGCATTAAAACAAGCCAGTATTGGTGAATGACAGGAAGAATGTTGCAAGCAGAGTGAACACCATTAACAAAAAGTATAGAGGCACAAAAATGGAAATCAAGGCACTTGAAAGAATTGAAATAATTGAAAACAGGGATCAGATATCTATATACCCATGTTCATAGCAGTGAACTATTATTGTGAACTATTATTCACAATAGTCAAAAGGTAGATGCAACCCAAGTGCCCAAAGACAGATGAATGGATAAACAAGGTGTGGCACATACACACAGGGAATACTAGTTAGCCTTAGGAAGGAAGGAAATTCTGACACACACCATAACGTGGATGAACCTTCAGGATATTATGCTAAGTGTAATGAGCCAAAAGAACAAATACTGCATTATTCCGCTTACATGAGGTACCTAAAGTACTCACACTGCTGGAGACAGAAAGTAGAATAATGGTTGCAAGGATCTGGGAGACAGAGGTGTGGAGAGTTACAGTTTAACAGACACAGAGCTTCAGTTTTGTGAGATGAAAAGAGTTTTGGAGATGGATAGTGGTCATGGTTGCACAATAATGTGAATTACCTAATGTCACTGAGCTGTGCACTTAAAAATGGTCAAGATGGTAAATTTAATGTTATGTGTATTTTACCACAGTAAAGAAAAAAAAGGAACAACCCCAAAACCATCACAACTATGCCCTGAGTTAAAACAGCTTCTAACTACTTAGACACCAGCACTCTCAAAAATACTATACATTTACGTTTTATGTAAATTTTTAATGTGCAAATCTGAGATAGACACAATTAAAATATTAATTATTATCATATTAAACCAAAAAAATGAAAATATGACTCTTCTACTAAAATGTTTTACTTAACCAGGAACCACATAATTTAGGGCTCAAAGGCTAAAGCAATTGTAAACTGTCTTTACAGTAAGATACATGGCAGCTTTAACTGATAGACAAAAACTCCCATCATCCTCGTCAGTGACTTCTGAACTGGACAGCATATGATTTTAATGAATATTGAGTTACTATTTTTAAACACATTCTCATAAATTTAAAATTTTCCTTATCTTATATTCTTGAAATCCTAGCTATCTATGCACTAATACTGAATAAACACAACTAAAAAACATAACTTTAGAACAGAAGTTAGAAGTGACACAATCTTAAAGAATGAGTCAATCATGTATTAATGATCAACCTATCCTTACCAGCTAAAAGGCATATCTAAATGGTTTTCAAATGTCCCATCTCCTTCCATTTGTGTGTTCTGAGAATATATCCCCACAACTCTTAATGATTCTGGAATCATGTGTGTCTACAAAAATGCATTTTTCAAATGGAATGCGAATGCTTTGTGTTGTGGAAGTCCAGTTTTCCTTTGGAAATCCTGGGCTGTCAGCAAATGTTTAGTATTTGCTGGCCTGTAGCCTTCTTTTGCTACCCGTGACCCCAATAACCCGTCCCCATGCTGTGGTCTTCAGTCTGCTCCCAGGCACAGAGCCCCCGTTGCTCAAAGCAAGGTACACACATGGGAAGCAGACCTAAAGGTGGCCATGGACCAGCAGGCGACCTCCCAGCTCCCCAGCATCAGAATCTGGGCACCCTGATGGCTGGAGGTGGCCTCCCAAATGGCGGGAAACAACCTCAACTCCTACACAGATTTTTAGGTCTTAAAGCCAATCCTGAAAAATTGTCATAGCATTGGACCTCAGAGCATTTGAAGTTGGGAAGAGTGTCAAAATAATTCAATAATTGTCCCACTGCAGAATAGAATAACTTGACCCCCTAAGCACATATAGTCCTACCGAGGCATGAGTATGAGAAGATAAGTGTATAAGAGATGGAATATCCCACTGCACAAGTGTCTGTCAAGTAACAAGAAAATTGAAGGCTGGAAAAATATTACCAAACATATTGGAGCCACAAAAAACATGAAGCCTCTTATCAAATACACATTTTTGCTCTTCCAACCTTCCCAGCAAGGACACCCAATCTGTCTTTATACCTAGGCCAAGGTCGATCTGTGAAAATGCAGCTGTGAGTAATAGGGGGAAGTTCCCTGCCACTTTTTTTAAAAGCTGAAAAAAGGCCAACTGCGATGTGAGGGAGGAAACATCTAGTGGGGTTGTCACAAATGTCATCACCTGCAAGTCCAGCTCACAGCCCATCCTGGCAGTATTACATGGCTCCCTGTGTCTGAATGTAGGGAGGAGTTTAGTTTTGAAAGATGGTTTCACCTTTCAGCCCCAAAGTCTCTAGGGTAACAGACACACAGGCAGCTGCAGAAGACCCCCGAAGAGGTGGATGCCCTCAAATCCCCGAGAAAAGATTTCTCCAGGGTGATGCTCAAAAGCTTACCTCCCCCCAACACACACACACACACGACACACAACACACACCGAGGTGAGTAACCTTCCCAGCAAGGATAGGATGGCAAGAATTAAATGGAGTAAAAAATCGGAGTGTTACAAAAAGCCCTTCTGCAAAGAAGATGCACCTGGAAATCAGTCCAAAGAATCTACTTAGATTTCTTTCCCCTGCAGAGCTTTTGGTGGGGGCTGTCCAGTACAGCATCTAGTTCTCCACTTATCTCCCCTGTAATCGATACAAAGAGAGGAAAAAGGCCTTGTGTTCCTAACTCAATTCTTCTAAGATTTTGCATTCTGATTCCAGATCTCCTTTGCTGTTTTTCAATCACACAAAATAGTACTTATTAATGAAATCTCAAATTTCATAGAGATCTGAAGCACAAAAACACTAGTATGCCCTGTGGCATCATGGCTTTGAGTGCAGAATGGAATCTGTGCACAAGTGAGGAGGATGAGCAGCAGCTATGGAAACCAGAGCCAGGGGAGGAGGAAAACGGTGCCCAGAATAAGGGATGGAGAGCTGCAAAAAGGAAAAATCCCCAGAGAGGAAGATACACCACATCTCTAAATACACACACACACGTGCACACACACACACACACAGATTACTGGTATCTTAAATGATGTAGCTCATAGCACCAGCCTTCTTTGTTATATTGTCAAGTTTTAAAATCAAAGTATGACACATGAACAAATATATATTTTATATTACCAGCTTAACAAATAAAACTAAGTATTTTCACAAGATACAAAAGTGCTGGGCCTTCAATCCATTATGATCATCCTCTGTATGTTCCTTCTCCTTTCCAGATGGTCCCAATTAAGAGTAAGACCTCCAGTCCTAACAGATGTTAACCAAATAAGCCCAATCTGAGCCTTTAATGAACAAAGTCAGACACATTTACTATACTCAAGAGAAGCAAAAATAAATATAATGTATATGCTGGGCCACTTGGGTTAACTTGAGATGACTAGGGCTTTGACCTGTGGCTGTGATTAGCTTCAACTTTTCCCATGTATCATATCTGTAATTAGCATATCAAAGGCTGTGATAGTGTTTAACACAAACTTAACCTTGGAATTCTTTGCCTCAATTTATTTTTCCTTAATATTGTTTGCAGAGGCAATTTCCACCTCTAAAATACTTTTCATTGCACCTATTGAAATGGGAAGCATGGCTTTTTAACATTCAAAATCAATAATGATTAGCAACTCAGTGTGCAGCTTGCTCTGTGTCAAGAAAATATGTCGTTTTCCAGCATTCTCTGCTAGCTGTGACTGGCTTGGCCAGCATTGCTTCTATAACTTGTGCCTCACCAAGCTCCATTTAGGACAGCGTGCAGAATGGACGTGCACCCAGGACCCCATCTGAGCACTAATATTTTCCTGAACAACAGGTGGCAGTAAAGAGACATTCTGCAGGAGCTAATTAAAGAGGTTGTCTGTTTCAGGAGGTGTTGTACAAATGCTGCTTAAAAGAAAGGATTGGATAGTAAAAAACAAAACCTGATTCAAGTTTCTCTGCACACACTGTTCCATTCCTTACATATGTCCCACCTAGCTCAGAGATTCTCCACCCACCACCCTCTTTTCTTATTTAAAGAACTCACCTTGTGATATAAATACTTTCCTTATTGTAGAGACTTTGGCTTTTGTAATGAACAGACCTCCAAACACCAACTCCCCCACCCCATGCACACAAACACACACACACGCATTGACACATCCAAGAGAGCTTGA